CCAGCCCGTCATAAGGGTGGCCTTTGGTGCATGGGAGAAAGGCCAAGGGGAATTGCCGGGTGACCACTGAAATCAGGTACGCAGAGGTCTTTTGTTGGCTTCATTCCCTAGTAGTGACCGGTAATCCTGCCGACCTGTCCAGCCTACCTGACTCCTTAGCCTTCCATAGTGACCTCCTGCCCCCCAAGTCTGACGTGTAATCACTCAGCCTGACCTCCTTTTCAACCAGACTGACCTGTTACCTCAGCCTGATCTCTTGTCCCCTCAGCCTTAACTCCTGTCCCCCCATCCCTGACTTCTTGTGCCCCCAGCCTGACCTTTCCCCACAGCCTGACCACCTGTCCCCCCAGCCTGACCTTTCCCCCCAGCCTGACCTCCTGTGCCCCCAGCCTGACCTTTCCCCCCAACATGACCTGTCCCCCCAGCCTGACCTCCTGGCCCCCCAGCCTGAGCCTCCCCAGGGTGCACTGAGAAAGCAGGCTCCTTCCCCACCGCGTGGCTCAGTTCCTAGGAAGGGGTCTCAGCCTTGGGACCGGCTCTGCTGCTTCCATTCGCCCTTAAAATTTTTTTTTGTCAATCACCTGAGGACATTTTCCAAAAAATGTTTTTTTATTGATTTCGGAGAGAGTTAGGGAGAGAGAGATAGAAACTTTGATGAGAGAGAAACATCCATCCGCTGCCTCCTGCACGCCCCCTACTGGGGATCGAGCCCACAACCCGGGCATGTGCCCTGATGGGAATCGGCACCAGTGACCTCCTGGTTCCAGGGTTGACGCTCAACCAACCGAGTGGGCCACACGGGCCGGGTACACCCATCGCCCTTTTTGAGGACTTCTCTCTGGTCTTTTTAAAAACATAATTTTAAGTGACTCATTACAGCACAGTTGATACTGTAATACAATCTTCTATTAGTTCCAGGTGCACAGCACAGTGACTTGACATTTACGTACTTACACAGTCACCACAGCAAGTGCATGGCCTTCCGTCTCCGTACACAGCTCTGATGTTACTGACTATTTTCTCTGCTGTATGTGGCACCCGTGACTCCCTTCTCTCACGACTGGAGTTTGTACCTCTCCGTCCCCTTTCACCTTTCCCACCCGCCCCGCCCCTCGGGCAACCGTCAGCTTCTCTGTGCCTGTGAGTCTGTTTTGGTTGGTTTTCCAGTTTGAGATCAACTGCGGGAGCCTGAGCAGCATGCCCACTGTGGTGTTTGAGATCAACGGCAAAAAGTACCCGCTGCCCGCCTCCGCCTACACCAGCCAGGTATGCGTCTCGGGGTTGGGGTGGGGGGTGGGGGTGGGGGGGGAGCCCCAGGCTCACCAGGGCCCTCCGCCCTCCTGGAGGGTCAGCCAAGTTGGTGGTAAGTGGGGGGCCTAGATGGAGAACGCAGGGACGTGTGCTTAGACCAGCTGGCCCTCCTGAGGGGGGGCCTGTGGTCCCTGGCCCGCGTGTGTGGCTGCTGCAGCCTCGTCCTGGGGAGAAATGGGGCAGGTGGGGAGGACAGAGGCCTGGGTTTGAGGGAAGGGGGAGGCAGGGCCATAGAACCCTGTGAGAGCCTCTGTCCACTGCTCTAGCTCCTCAGCCCAAGGGGCTTAGTCTGTCTGGGATGTTCTTAGATCGCCTGGGAATTGTGGGGACCCAGATTCCCAGTGATTGGGTTTGAACCTAATCCTAAGACCCC